AAGGTTGAGGAAGCCTGTTTTAAACTGTTTTTTTAATGTTATGTTGTAAATGGTTTTAACATACCCTGAAACTTTAGTGTGAAGGATGGGTAATATATTAAAACAACAACCACAACATGCTTCTTGACTACCTCCTACAAAGGTGAATTCTCTGGAATAACTGCATTTGGCACAAAACATTATTGCATCCCCCCCCCACCCTCAGTTTCTGGCTCCATTGGTCAATGATGGCAACATATAAGGTCAAGGGTGCATGCTGATTCTTTTTAGATCTATTCGCTGCCTCTGATAACATCAATCAAAAGGATTTGTTGACATGGCTGGGGACTCTCAGCATGGATTTACAATCAGCTCTGTTCTTTTTCACAGCCAGAAGGAAACTCTACAAAAAATCTTTTCTTGATTCTCTGTAACTTAAAGCATCCTCCTCAAACATCATCTTTTTATCTCCAATCTATATAATCACCCACCTTTCATCCACAGCATTTGGGGACAACTTGGCCCTCTCATTAAACTCCTTTGTCTTTCCCCCTTCTTGATGGGGGGTCTTCTTCTCTACTTCTCCATTTTCCACCTACCAATTCCCTCTCTGCTATTCATACCTCCCCCTCAAGTGACCCATCCTATTTCCTGACCAAGTGATTCCTCAATGATAAGTAGAAATTCAGTGGATTTCAAGAGTTGTCACATGTGATCACTTCATGTTGGAGATGCTGTGTAATACACAAGTGTGTATAAAGATGGATCTGCAAGTGTGTCTACAACAAAACAAAAAATGTGGTTCCCCACTAAAGTGGAAGCACTATTCTAGTCAATAGTCCTTCTGTCTTCCCACTGTGAGGAACATTCAAGTTGGCACTTAATGTATATGCTAGGGGAAGCATTGTAAATTGAATAGTTAATGTGCTAGGGGAAGCAATGTAAATTGAATGGTTAATGTGCACAACACCTGGCCTTTGTGCACATTCACTAGGCCTTATGGAGAATGTGTTCATTATCCGTCCATGATGACGGATGTGTCCATAATCTGTCCTGATCAATATGCATAATCTCCATCATGCCAGAGAATGTACAATTTGTACAAAATTCAATATATGTGTATTCTTCAAGAGCCATAATATATCTAGTAGATGATGCTATTTATGTCTTTCCAGTTCACAAGAAGGAATTGGGCCCCTGTTGGGAGCAACTGGGAGATCCTATTGATTCTTAGGAATAATCAGACCACTAAGCACTTCCTGATTTCTCACAAATCTGAGGAGGTTCCAACACAACTCTCAGTAGATACACAATAATTCCTGTAACAGCCTCTCTCCATTTTAAGCCCTGCACTTGAAGAGCAAACAGAAATTGCTATTTGAAAACATTATGTGCTGCTCTGTACTTGTTCTGCCTTTGAGTAATCTCCTGGCTGTTACTGAAAGGGTAGGCTTTGACCTAGAAGAAGTTGAATTTGTGAAGGTCATGAAGGTCAGTCCCTTCAGGAAACCATCAAGTCTAATCAAGTCAAGTTTATTTGTATCAGCCATAGGCCACCACAAAGAGAAGGAATGAAAGTATCACCTCTCTACATCCCAGAATCACAGTCCTGCAGTCAGTTTCATGCATGAGTGGGGGCGGGGGAATAAAGTTTAGAGATACAGAAATGCAAATCTACCTCATGTTATTAAATGTTAAAACTAAAAAGAAACCAATAAAATCACACCAATAAAGGAAGCAAAACATATTCCCTAAACTGGTGCCCTCCAGATGTTGTGGACTAAGTACCCATCAGCCCCACCCAACACAGGCTTTGGGTGATGGGGTCTGTAGTCCAATATATCTGGAAGGCACCAGGTTGGAAAAGGCTGCTCTACTCTCAATAATTAATATTTTTATAGTGCCATCACGGGGCATGGTTCTTTACAGAATATAAGACCAGTCCTTTCCCAAGAGGCTTCCAATTTAATACAGAAGAGACAAGCAAAGACTAGGAGAGAGGGAGGCAGAGGTGAACAGAGAAACAGAATCATAGAATTGTAGAGCTGGAAGGGACCCCTGAGGACCATCTAGTCCAACCCCCTGCAATGGAGGATTATGCAGCTATCCCATACAGGGATCAAACCTGCAACCTTGGCATTATCAGCACCACACTCTAATCAACTGAGCTATCTAGTTATGCACACTTAAGCGCTATTAGAGTATGACATAGAGATCATCCTTATACCAGATTCTTTTCATTTTTATTACAACTATATCCTGCCCTTCCTTCCAAAGGTAAAGGGACCCCTAACCATTAGGTCCAGTCGTGGCCGACTCTGGGGTTGCGGCGTTCATCTCGCTTTATTGGCCGAGGGAGCCGGCGTACAGCTTCTGGGTCATGTGGCCAGCATGACTAAGCCGCTTCTGGCGAACCAGAGCAGCGCACAGAAACGCCGTTTACCTTCCCGCCAGAACGGTACCTATTTATCTACTTGAACTTTGACGTGCTTTTGAACTGCTAGGTTGGCAGGAGCAGGGACCGAGCAACAGGAGCTCACCCCGTCAAGGGGATTCAAACCGCCAACCTTCTGATCTGCAAGTCCTAGGCTCTGTGGTTTAACCCACAGCGCCACCCACGTCCCACCCTTCCTTCCAAAGGAGCCCTTTAATTATAAAAGGTTACAGAAATATATCAGACCACATTTGGAAGAATGGGGTGTATGGCGTGTCAGGAGAGGGGGCCAGGAAATATGAACTTCAGCATATGAACTCTGTCCAGGCTCGGACAAGGCTGCTCTCAGGAGTTGGGCTCCTGTGAGGAGCGGTGGAACCTCATTTGAAAAGTGAACAACTTGTGAAGTCACTGCAGCACAGTGCCAGCTGCAAAGATGAATTGCCAGGAAAGGAGAAGTTAAGCTGGAGCCTCATGGGAAGCTGCACTGGTAGCCTGCTCTTGGCTCACACAGTGGACAGGACTGCAGCCTTAAGCCACCAACAAGTCTCTGGAGCACGATTCCTTCTGGATCTTCAAATATCAAAATCACAGCGGAGCCGTGCAAGCCATTTTATTCACAGCCCCCTGCTGTGCAGGCTGCCATAAAAAAAAATCAGAAATGTTAAAGGAACTGGGTGGTTGGAGCAGGGTGATAAATACAGATGAAACCTCAATAAATTTTGGAGCAAATAGAATTATTATTTGTAACCTGTAAGGAAATAGCATTTCACAGAACAATGAGGATTGTGCAGTACCCTATAATGTTTATAGCACTTTAAAACTGTATTTCAGTTGAATCTGTACACAATGGATTCGAACAGCATAAGGAAAATCTTGAAAAGACAAAGGAAAGGGGTTTATTTTTCTCTAGAGAGAGTATTTTTCACAGACACACTCATATCTCGTGATGGCTGTCCCAGTGTTGCTCTCATCATAGCTTTCTGTTGGAGCTATAATCACTACAGGTGTTCACATAAATAGCCCCTAATAATGCAGAAGGTCTCAGGAGGGGTGTCAGAATATTTTCAGTGAAGTGCCAACAGAGCCCACATTTTTGACAGAATGAACATTCATCACCGTGGACACATTTAGAAAAACATGGCAGAAAAAAAGTCTGCTTTTTGGAACCCTTTAATAAGCGACTTTGCAAATTGGATTGACATGCTGTTTAATTCACATTCTTCCTATTGTTCTTGTGCCTTCCATTTGGAAAAATCAAATCAGTTTATTTTAAATCTTAAAAATAGCTCAGCTATCTTTAGATGCCCCTGGGAGTTCTCTTGCCTCACTTGAACACAACTTATCCTCATATAAGGCTTTCCTTGAGCCACAAGATCAGACCCTGTTTTATGCATTTGATTCTCCTAAATTCTTGTTTTAATGTGCTTTTATGCTGCTACTTTACTGGTTTTGGGTAGCATTTCTTTTTAACAATGCTGCTTCCTTTTATATTGTATACTGCTTAGAGACCTGCAAAATATTTTCAACAGTTTATCAATACTTTTAAATAAATGAATAAACAAATATTTGCAAAGAGGTTAAGAAAATGATGTGTCTTTTTATACAAGCACATATATAACCTGCCTGATGCACATCAAATGTCTTTCTTCTCTTCTAGCAAAATTATGTTCCAGTGAGTGCTCACAATATGCTCCAGATGGGGTTTTAGTGTTCATTTTGTGACAAGAGTTTAATCTTTTAATGGATAGGGAGGGGATCCTACTTCTAAACTCTCACTACCCTTCCAGACAGGAAGAAGTCAGTCGTCTTCTTCTTATCCCTGGGGGACTTTACTATACATTTCCTCCATCCATCCACAAAAAATCACCTTTACATTTGTTCTTTGAACTGACATTACCACCAATCTATCCACTGGCTTATACTGCACAGTATATGACACAGAACAGACTCTGTTCTCCACAGATGGCCTGAAGCACAGAGGCTATACTCAGTGCAAAACTTAGTAAGCAGGCAATTCTACTGAATTCACCAAAGCTAATGCTAATTTGCTCCACTTGAGACATTTGACATTCACCCTCCCCTTTTATCCCTCCCAAGACCAATCACAGATACTCCAAGACCTGAATTTATATCTTTTTTCCAGTTTAGAATGAAAAACATCATTGTTGCTGGCTCTGTCTTCCAGTAGGCCAGGAGCCCTGCATAAAAACTCTCCCATTCAGGCCCCAACTTCCTTGTACTGATCTGCTTACCCCATCTTCCCCCTTTCAGTTTCGTTTCCTGAGAAGAAGGGGTCTGAAGACCCAGAGGTCTTGGCAAAGGCTTGGGTGCAGAAACCATTCCCAGAAATAGTCCCATCAGCACTAGGGGAACTTGGTAGTCAGAGATGCCTTCAGCCACAAGGCCTGAGGAAGCTGCCATGGTCCCTTCTCCATGGACTCCTCTTCAGAACCCTCATCTGTGCAGGGTGGGGTACCTCTTGCTTACCCTATCGTCTTCAGGAGCAGAGTGGTATGGGAGCATACTGCTAGATCCAGCTGTCATTGAATAGAGTGCGGCTCCTTTAAGCTCCAATTTCCTCAAAGCTAGGATAGCTCAGTCTGTAGAGCATTAGACTCTTAATCTCAAGGCTCTGGGTTTGAGCCCCATGTTGGGCAAACGATTCCTGCATTGTAGGGGGTTGAACAAGATGACCCCCCCCCATGGTCCCTTCCAACTCTGTGATTCTGTAGAAGCATAAACCTGACGGAGGAACTATTTTTAAAGACCTCGTTTGGTTTCAGATCTGGAGCAACTCTACACAGCTCCACAGGTAGCTGACCAGGGTCCTGAACTGAGCTTCACTCCACTTGGGCCTTAGGCTGGAACAGAAGCTGACTCCAATGCTCCCTCTTATGCTCCTTGTCCTTATGCAGTAAGACACCAACAGAAGGATGTCACTGCCAAAAGCCAGGCTTTTCCCTGGTGGTGCTAGTGATTACACAGCATATGTGATCTAGTCTCACAACTGCAGGTCAAGCATTCCCAGTGCCAGGCTATGGAAGAAAAATGAAATTGCTTCCTATATCCAAGGAGCCCCATTTGCCCCAGTTAGCGGTACAAGCTCTGTCTTCACACAAGCCTCTGCATTATGACAAACTCCTGGACTGCCAAACTCCCAAGAACCAGAGGCCCTTTGGAAAACACGGGTGCCATTTCCCATCGCACAGAGTACGGACTGAAACCCAAAGTTTAGTAACTCTTAAAAAATATACAGTACTGAATTATGCTAGATCCTTAAGTTAATATATAAAATGTATTGTAAAAAATTATAGACACAAAAGTAAAATCAAGTAAGGTATTACATACAGGCAACCTATGAGCTCACATGGGATTACATGTAACTACAGCCAAGTTACAGGGAACCAGGCAGAGGGCTTTCTCGGTAGTGGCGCCTGCCCTGTGGAACGCCCTCCCACCAGATGTCAAAGAGAAAAACAACTACCAGACGTTTAGAAGACATCTGAAGGCAGCCCTGTTTAGGGAAGCTTTTAATGTTTGACAGACTATTGTATTTTAATATCTTGTTGGAAGCCGCCCAGAGTAGCTGGGGAAACCCAGCCAGATGGGCGGTGTTAATAATAATAATATTTATTAAAATAAGTCAAAGAGGGTAAAGGGCCTAGGATGATGGAGCAGGTGCCAACCAGATTTCCTATTGATGGCAAATGTGTAGTAAAATTCTTCACATCCCTTAGTGAGATATAACATAGCTGCTGGAGAAAAGGTATATTAAAAAAAAAAAGACTTCAATGATATATTAGCCCCATACACACCATACATTTGAAGCACATGGCTTCCCCCAAAGGATACTGGGAACTACAGTTTGTTAATGGTACTAGGAATTGTAGTTCTGTGGAAGGTAAACTATGGTTCCCAGAATTCTTTGGGGGAAGCCATGTGCTTTAAATTCACAATGTGGGTGTAACCACTGAGGGAAGCCCCTGCTGCTTACATGTCTGTAGTATGAGTTAAAATAGTTGCTTATCCTCTGCATACTTTGAATGTTCCTTGTCCCAGTGTGGCAGATGAGCTACCACAACATGAACAAAAAATAGAGATCAGCAAAATGGCAAAAATGAACAAATAAGAGACACTTCTGGAACCTTACAGGAACCTGCTGCTCTGGATCATAGTAAAGGCAGAATCTCTAAGTAGCCACCACTGTCTTCCCATTAGAACAGACCCATTGTCATCCATCAGGAGAGCAAAGAAATTTAATTCACTCAAGTAACTGCTGTGCCTGGAGAGCTTATTGGCACCAAGGCAAACAATTTGCTTCTTCCACTCCAGCTTCAACATCAAAAGTTGAGGTTCTTGGGGGGTGGGGATCAGTGTTTACCATTTGTTTCCACAGCAACAATCTACAAATTCTAAAACTATGTTACTGGTGAGCTCACAAAATAGCAAGCTGAAGATCTGAAAGCAAGATGGTATAATCACCATGCTTCAGAATCCCTTCCCTGGGAATACAGCAACACTAATATGTCTAGCTTCTCACACAGATATATATATACACACACTCCACATAAAATATCTTGCAGCGAACAAGCATGATAACTCCCTTCAAATATGTGGGGCCTCACTCTCTTGTGTGCTATCACAGGATTTCAGCTTGCCCTCTTAGCTGCAGACATTTTGTCAAAATCTCCTGCTGTAAACTGTCCTGTACATGAACTCAAACACAAAAATGCAACATTCATTTTCCTCTCCGGAGTCATTCAGACCACATCCTGTGAGCACTGCAGGATGTGCTTTCATGTAATGCTTGTGTCTTTGCCTTTCAATGGAACAAAATGGCTGCAAAATCCACATTTTAGCATATTCCAAAGTGCAGCAGAAATATCTCCAGCTTCCGTGTGTCAAAAAATACTATTTTGTATTGCCAAGATGTCTTCTCTTGTAGGGCGTTTAACAGGCTTTCTACAAAGACAACTTTCTTCCCCCCCCCATATAAGGCTTCTTAGTTAAGACTGTGTGACCCTTCTGCAAGTGTAAACCAAGGGGTTCAGTTTCTAAAATATACTGTTGGAGAAACAGCTTTATTTGCATTGCAGATGATTTGCAGCTACCACCTCTGGTAAAGACTATTGCTGTGATAGAGTCTAAACAAAAATAATAAAAATAAAAAAATCATTTATACCCCAATGTATGGGGGCTGGGATTTCACTGAAAACTCTGGTGGGAATTTTATGCAGACAGAAGAAGGGAACTGAAAGTGAAATTTTACAAGGCAATTGGAATAACCACCTGTTCCAAGGAGAAATGTCACCATTAATTCTTAATGTTCACAGACTGGAAACACTGTTTTGCAGGCTAGTGCACTGGAAGACTTGTCCAGAGCTTACACCAGCACAGCAACTATTTACAGGTGATGCAACAAGATCCAGGGTGTGTGTGTGTGTTGTCATTTCATTCAAAGCCCCTTTGGACTGCTGCCCTGTCGTTTTCTGCAGGTGTGTTCTTTAACATGCAATTGACATGATATTAGTGCATTAGTGGTGGATTGAGACTGGACCGTCCACACTTCATTTCACTTTGTTACTTTTCCTGTGAAGCTTCCCCAATGTTATCACATTACTGCCATCTGGAGGGGCACTCTTGTGCTAGTGTACAATAAAAGTAGGCTAAAAGCAGCAGCAGCAACAACAACCCCAGAGCATTTGCGGTATAAAAAAAATTACAGGACTTCAGCAGGAAATTACAGGATATAGGCTGACAGAAAATGAAGCCGAATGGCCTCTCCAATTTTTTTGCAGGTGCAAGCTGTATTGAAAACAGGCTATCACATATAATCACCCCAATACAGTCATGAGCACAAATCACCAGGAATGCACAATCAAAGTACATCAGGAGGGGCACTCAGTTATGACTCGGAAAGCCGCCTTCTCAACAAGATAGAACTTTTTTGTTGAAAACATGGGCAACTTATGCAAATAGACACACACACACACACACACACACACACACACACACACACTAACTTTTGAGACTGTTTTATGGAAACCAGAGAATTAAAGCTCCCAGGCAAACTCCAAGGAAACACACTCAGAAACAATCATTTGACTTTGTACCTAAGCCTTCAAAAATTAAAGTAAACCATTTCAAGAGGTATGTCAAACATTGGCAAAAAAGAGAGAGCTTATGTTCACCCGATGCAAAGCTGAAATTGTGTGACTGGTTACAGCCCAGCTCTTTATTTCAAGTATGTAACATGCTATTTTGCTTTCCTGGACCATGAATGCCGTGTTCAAGACTCATGGAATTAAATGACGATTTATCAGTGACAACAGCTGCAGAAGGAGCAGCCATCTCCTCTATGAGCAAAGAAGGATGCGTCCAGGATGCAACAAAAGCCAAGCAACTGAGCCAGTGAACTGCATAATATGCCTTGTTATTTCCCTGTTTCTTATATTGATCTTTTTTAATGGCATGCTCATTCTTGCTTTCATGCTCCCATCTAAAATATTGACCTCCCATTGGGGAAGGAGGGAGAATGCGGGTTTCTAGGCCTGTTAAAGAGATTCCATTTGCACAGAACTTTAAAACGGCAAAATAAAGATGTAACTCAAAAAATCCACATTTGGATCCATGCAGTGTCCCGCCGAGGTCGGTGCAGACTCTGTGTTACTGAACAAGTCCCCTTACAGATGTTTCCAGACTCTGATCCGGGGTCAGCAAATTCCGTATGTCAGTTGAGATGCTTATGCAGTATAACCACAGTCCTGCTATCCTTTTACATGCTCGACAAACACTGCATGGTTGCTCACTTCTTATTTCTGGTCCTAATTTCCATGGGTATAATGGGATGGCACTGGGGCTGTACAAGGCAATTGGCCATGGCATCTCCACAAAGTAATGGTGATTATATGAAAGCAGACTGTGCCATTCTGATTGGGAATTTAAACTAGAGTTTATAAAGGACATCAAGATCCTTGTGGGTAAAAGCTTCTATGTAACAATACAAAACCACTCAGCAAGTATGCATGCAACTAGAAAGCCTGTAGCACATTGCCTTAGATCAGAGAAGACCAACCTGGTGCCCCCTCCAGATGTTGCTTGGCTCCAACTCCCATCAGCCGCAGCCAATATGGCCAACTTGGCCAATGACCAGGTGTGATGGGAGTTGTAGGTCTACAATATCTGGAGGGAATCACATTGGCTACCTCTGCTCTTGATGAAGTAGTTTAGAACAGAGGGGGATAATTTATACGTGCTTAGACAATTGGCCTTTCTAGCCCAGTATTGTCTACACTGACAAGTAGCTGGTGCCCAGGGCCTCAGGCAAAAAGATTTCTCAACTCACCATGTCTTTATAACTGGAGAGTTGCCCAAAACTGAACCTGGGACTTCTGTGTGCAAAGCATTGGCTTCATCACTGAACTATGTTGCTAATTGGCTTCCAAATTTGGATTGCAAAATTTGCAAAAGCCACTATCTCCCCCAAGCAGTTTGCAGATGTGGGCTTGCATCTAGACCAGCAAGTCAACAGAGGCCCGCTGTGACCTCACAGCAGATCATCCAATGGTTATCAAGTGAAGTGGAGCAGCAGCAACAGCAGCAAGAAAATGAAGATTCTCAGAAGAGAGATTCATTGACAGTTACAGGCAGTTACATCGCATTCCCCTTTAATAGAGAAACAATTTACTACCTCAACCTCTTTATCTCTTTCCAAAGGGGCAGGTGTGTTCATCTGCTGTAGCATAATCAAGGAAGCGTCTTGCAGTACTTTAAAGACTAACACATTTTCTTTATCTCTCCAAGCTTTGATAAAACTGTAAAGAAATGCTTTTCATTTTCTCATTTCCAATCTAAATTTTGATCTTTCACAAATAATCTGGGCTCTGAAAAACACAATGCCTTCAGAACTGAAATTTCAGGATTGTTTTAAAAAACGATCTAACAGAAACAGACATCTGCTAATAATTTTTTCTGCTAATAAATATCTGCACAGTAACTGTGATTCAGCCCTTTCAAACTTGCATTACTAAATGCAAATGAAAAATTGAGAAAACCATAGTGACGCTAGCTTGTCTAGATCCTTTGTTAAAATTCTGAGCAGTGAAAGTAGACTAAAAAACAGACGCTTTCCCTCTCCTTAATGTTAATGATGCCCAGCAATATTTCTCATCATTATCTGAGTCAGATAAGGTGATTCTTGGAAACAGGAATGGACTGGATGAAGGCCACTACAGTGAGGCTGAATCCTGACAAACTGAGGTCTTGAGAGTGGGTGGTTCTCAAGTCAGAATTTGGTAAAATTGTTGGGTCAAATTCAAATATCTTTAATACGGTCAATGACCAGGAAGCAATTTATAAAATATGACATTAAGAGTAGTATTGTGCTACAAGTAACAGTAAAAATATGGCCAATTCACAGAATTGGTGCTTATATTTATGACCAGGTTTCGAGTTTTAAGTTTTTAAAATTCAGTTCAGGAGTCGCTACTGTTTATTATCGTTCCTTCGATGTTTATAGTTTGAACTCCTTTGTAGACATCATTGCTTGTCTTATTCTTGTTGCAATGTAACAGTACTTTGCCACGGACCTGTTAATTTCGGGCTCTTTGTCAGCTAAGAGGTGTCTGATATAGGTGAAAATTGTTGGGTCATATGTCATTACATTGTTTGTATAATGAACAGGTAGTGCATTGCAACCCATTTGTGCAAAGAGGTCCACGGCAACAAATGAACTAGTTTATCTATGCCAGATTTGCATGAGAGATTCAATACCCAAAGGGCTACATCTACACATGGCCAGTAGGGAGACATGTGAATCCTGAATTTCATACCACTGTTATGGTCTTCAGCGTTAAATAATGGAAGCTAGGAAACAGCAGTGGGATTGTTTGAATTGGTTCTGTTTTGGAATTTATAAAATAAATACAGTTAGACTGAAAACCCCCATAAAGAAACTGGGCCCTTTCAAATACTAGCAAAGTTACCCATCCTTTCTCACATGGCCAAACGGTTTGTGCTGCTCTCGGAGTCTGAGGACATCAGCAACAAGACCAAGAAAGCTGTCAGTCTTCCCACACCCTCTTGGCTCCACCTACCACTGCTGTACAGTCCATTATCTGTCTTGGACTCAACCACACTCAACCACAAAGCAGTCTACTAGGGTGAGAAACAGATTAGTAAATATGTGTACATTAATGCAGACTCTCCTCACTCTACAGTTTCAGTGTCTTTACCACTGGTACCTGGTACCCAGTGTCCATTGGGACTGGTGGGGCAGAAAGCAGGAAGCCAAAGTCAATGACAGGCAGAGCCGCCTCCTTATTGGTTGTAAGTAAGATGGCAGTCAGGTAGGGGTTGTCATGGTGCCCCATTTTCCCTAATGGTCCTTCACTGGTCCCTAAATTCAAACAAGCATACAAAACACAATGCTAAACCTTCCTGAGCTTCCCTCTTAAACTGTTGCAATCCATAATCTACCTTTTCCTGTGAGAATCTGTGTCAGAGCCCAAATATTGACTGTGAACTCAATCTCAAAACCTGGCTCCCTATTCCCCACCACCAGAACTACATTCAATTTTTGGTTTGTACCGAAACTAAGCCTTGCAAATAAGCCCACAGAAGACAGTAGTCCATATTGGGGTCCATGACCCATCAATCATTTGTCTGTTGAGCCCATTGTCTGGTGATCCAGCCATGAGTGGGTGATGCATAAGGATGGATTGTGCCCTAAGACTACTGGCTTGAATTGGTAGATTTAGAGTTCAAGTTTATTGTGTGCTGATTTCAACTAATGAAGATTAATTTGAATTAGTGGGTGGGTGTATTAAAGGCACACTTCTTCATATTTGTAGGCTATTTTGATGGTACTGGCATGTTAACACAGTAAGAAACGAAATATGTATTACTGAGTTGGATGCAATCTAACATTAGTGCTAGAAGCAGGAGAGTTTGAGGCGTTGCTCAAGCCGCAACAGAAGCAGTATAACAGTACAACACAGCATACAATAGACTAATGACTTGCAACTCTTCTAACAACCCAAGCTGGCAATTGTACTACCCTAAGAACGGGGCTCCCACTAGCAGAATGGCCACTATGCTAGTGAAGTTGCCACAGATGGATCAATGCATCCCTTTACTTCTTACAATGAGTGGCCTTTGGGGTTTCTTAAATAAGTTCTCTTACTTCAGTATTTCAAGCAGTCACTTTTAGGGAGGTTATGGTAATACACGAGTCTTCTGAAGACTGGTTCAAAAGACAGAAGCTTCATCAAAATCCTTTAATCCTAATGCAAACACTTTGTAAATAAGCCCAGTGTCACTGACTTGTAATCAACGTTCAGATTATCCCCCGACAAATACCTTTGCCTCTCAGAAGAAGATGAAGTGGGGTTCCCCTCCCATCCAGTCAGCTGTTGCAAGCGAGCTCGTGCTGAAAAGTCAGGGAGAGGCCACGACTCCTATAGAGTTTTCAGCTCTCCAGAGACTTCTGGCTGGCACAAGTGCGACACCCATTAAATGTGGCTGCAAAGAGGACATGTGGAAGATGGATGCTTTCTTGTTATATGCTATGTCTACAAAAACAGCCAAGGGAAATGAACTGCTCCTCCACAACATAGCCTTCTCAGGGAGTTCATGAAAGTTAGCTGCAGACAGCTGTCGCTGCTGCAATCAGCTGATAGTCTCTGATCACTGCACCCCAGGAATCATTTCAATAACTACAAAATCCCACCACCTTAGCTGCCAACAGGATAACAGTGAGACACATGACAGGCAGACCACAAGTCCATGGAAGCACTGTTTAGATTTACAGGTATAGGGAGAATGGAATGAACTTGGGAGTCTCCAAAAGATGTTATTGTTATAGTCCCGAGGCAAAGACTGAGGCTGAATAGACTTACAGCAGCTTCAGAGCTAATCTCTATGATTCAGTAGGGAAATGCATGATAAAAGGAGCAGCTGATCATGGTCACAATCCATAAGGTGTTGCTGCAAAACAAAAGGCTCTTCATGGGAGCAATACTTGGTGGGTTGTGATGAATTATCCACACTACTATTCTTGCCCAAAGCCCTGCCTCCAGGATGTGTTTAGCCCAGGATTTTAAAAAGTTGGAGTGGTTTCCCAGGGGCAAGCATGTAATGTGTTTTGAGGGAGGACATAGATCGAATACTTCTAGGGCAATAAACTAAGCAGTTAGTGAATTCAGTAAATATACAAAGGCAAGAATTTCTGTAGTACGTCAGACAGACTCATCAGGCCAACTCTACCATTAGGCAAAGTGAAGCAACTGCTTCAGGTGGCGGTTCTGGGGTGAGCAGCGGGAAGGGAAGGCAACAGATACAAGGAGTTGGACAGAACTGTGTGTGTGCCCCATACAGCCTGCTCTGTACCCACTAATCTGGCCTGTTGTCCTCAGATGCAGGAGAATAAACTGTTTTGTCAGTTGTATTGAATTAAGATTAAACTGCCCATCCTGGAAAGAGGAACAGGTGCATCTTGGCTATTGTTGCAGGCAGAAAATTGTATTGGGCTGGCCCTCAGACTCCTGTTTCACCCAATCCAGTATCTTCTTGCTGGCACGTGGAATAATGTGGCCAGACAAGATCCTCTCCATAAACCCCATTCCAGTTAATGATCAGTGTTAGCCCTAAAATTTCTGGACCATCCATAATAATTCCAGCTGTCAAGCAGTTATGGACTACAACTGCAACCTGTTGCAAAATTTAATAATCAATCAATCAATCCTATTACCAGGGCTGGCCCTACCATTAGGTTAAGCAAGGTGGTTGCCTGAGGAGGCAGATGATGACGGGTGGAGAATAGGCAGGGTTGTGTGTGCCACACAGGTTACCTTGCGCCTTCTAAGCTGCCCTACTGCCTTCCAGATGCAGTGAAGGACGCTGTCCCTTCACCAGTGCTGAAAAAAGATCAGACTGCTAGATCCCTTGCAAGTGTTTGTGCACAGAATGGGGAGGGGATCTTGTCCTTTGCCTCAGGACAGAAATAAGCCTTGGAGTGGCCATGTTTATAGCTACCAGATAGCTTACTGTATATCAGAGAAGACTACAAAATTAATGCATGCCACCACATCAAGTTCTCCTAGAAACAAGTTAGCACTGCTATAACCTATGCTCTGAAGCTTTCAAAGAGTCATACCGTGACGCCTTTGGCAGCGCAGGAAAAGTAAAGAGATGAAGGGGGGGAAATACATTTTAAAATGTTTGTCCCCTCTCTTCTCCCTGCCCCTCATCTCTGTTCTTCTGATTCTAACTGACAGTCGCTCCCTCTGAAGTCTCCCATTTCGCAAGCAGCTCCTTTTTGCTTGCATATTGCAGCAGCCAAGGCACTGTTTAAATGCAAGCAGGGAACAAAGTGACGCATTAAATATGTAAGAAATGCCGTCTCTTACCTGTCAGGTGCTCTGCAAGGGCAGGAGAACAAAGGGAGGGCAGAGAGGAAGGAGAAAGGCTAGAAAGGGCAGCTTGTGGTTTTGAAAGGATATGGATTGCACACCATCTTGATGCACCAACTGCGAGGGCTGGTGGTCTGTTTCAGGCAGAAGAAAACCACGGGGGCCAAATCTGGATAGGGCACATCTGGGTCCGGCGGAGGCTCCATGTCACCATCATCATCTTCGTCACCCAGGTCTGGGGATGGTGGTGGTTGCTCCAGCAGGGTTGGTTGCTCACTCATTCCTGGATCCACATGTTCCAGAGAGCACAGAGTGGGATTGTGAATGGGTGGGTTCCCCGACTGCCGGGTAGAGGAGGGGTGGGAGCCATGTTCGGCCATGTTGGCATGAAATGAGAATCCCTGGAAAGAGACAGAAGTGACACAGTTGACGAACAGTCCACCACCAAATGCACAGCGCAACTGTCCTTTGCTTTGATAGAACCAATCCAAAATGTTAGATGAACTTGCTTGCTTGCTTGCTTGCTTACTTAGTTACTAATGTCCTTCTCATTCCAGGCCATACTGAGTTTTCATAACTCCTCCTCACTCTGGCTCAATAAACACATTCATGATGAAAAGGCAATAATATTTTAGCCCTCGATACAGACCCCACTGGCAGAAGCAGCGCAATCTGTCAGTGTGTGTGTGTGTGTGTGTGTGTGTGTGTGTGTTACACACTGCTGACGAGGCCAGGAAACTTCATGGTAGACCTCCATCTACAGCTAATTATACCCAACAAAACTTGGCATATTGAGGATGTGGGTTGACAGGATCCATGCCAAATTTGGTTGGCAACTCAGCCCACATGTAACAGGCCCCTGCAAAGTTGCCTATAGTTGGTCGAGTATTGGAACGATTAACATGAATCGTGCCATGATCTATGCGGGCAGTGATGCAATCACCCAGCTGTTTCACCACATGCTGCCTGGACACTGTATGCAAAATCCACTCAGCTCACATATTCAACGTCCCACTTTGGTTGCGTCCTTTAAAAATGAGAGTCTCACCCCATCTATTCCCTCTTCATCCACTAAAATCCATTTAGAAACTTGTTGCCAAAGTCATCTTTCCTGCTACTTAATCAAACCACATCACTCTCTAATCCATTATACAGTGTGAGCCACTTGACTGGTCCTACATATTCCATGAACACAACACTGCATACAAACCATTTTCTGTCTTTTCAAGGCCCTTCAGGGTTCTAGCTTGAATCCTGCATCAACGTTCAGCATGATGCCTTGAAACTCAGAGAGTACATTTAGAAAAAGTATAAAACTTGTATGGTTTTCATTATCATATAACATCTCACTCTCAAATGCTATTTTTCCCTGGGACTTAAAATTCAGCTGAAAATTTCCTCCCCCCTTTTGAAGGAATGAATTCATAGTCCTGGACTGCTTGTGTATATGATGTACTTGTATGTCTTCATGGCAAAGGGATACATAGCTTTGTTGTCTATGGGGAGTATCGGGTTAACTTTGAGCCTTGACAAATCTGCCAGGTCTCCAATAGCTCAGAGCATGAGATTCTTGTTCTCAGAGTTGTGGGTTTGAGCCCCACAATGGGTGAAAGATTCCCGCATTGTAGGGGGTTGGACTAGATGACCCTCATGCTCCTTTCCAACTCTCCAATTCTACAATTCTATGATTCATTAAACAACAGGGTTGAGGCATCTGCCATTGCCGATGTGCAGGATAGCACATCCCTCATCTGAGGGCAGGAAATGTGAAAGCTCTAAATTTCCTTGAGCAAATGTCCCAAGTGGAGGAGCATATGATTGACAGGCAATGTCATGAATACAGATAGACAGACAGACAAGAGACAAGCAGATTAAGTTTGGGAAGAAGGAACAAGGAACAAAAAGCCTACTTGAGACCAAAGAAGCCTGGTAAATTAGGGATGGTTCAGACCAGGGCTAAAGGATCATATTTATCCAATTTTGTTCTGAAGAGAATATTTTTGGTTTCAGCAGGTTTGGGACATTGCATTTATATGTAATGTTTACATGGGGATACCTCAAATGGGGGAAGAGTGGCAGAAGCAAAGGGATACACTCTGTTGTGGCCAGATAGCCAGGTGGTTGGGACATGGCCATCAAACCCGCCTTTCCCCATTATGTACCATTAGAAATGGAACACACCAGTGTAAATTCAACAAAAGGTGTACAATGTGAAATTCAAATGAAAGGTGTACAATGAGCATGTCAGAAGCCCATTTGTGGGGCAGGAGTTCCACAATTTAGGGGCTGCCACAGAGGAAAGCCCTCTCCTGGGTCATGATTCCCTATACTTCTGAACTTGCAAGGGTGTCCCCAGAAGGTCAGCAGGGATAGAGGCAGTCTTTCAGATATCTGGCACCTAAGTCATTGAGGACACTCAGCACTAGTGTGAGCACCTTTAACTGGGTCCAGAAATGAAATAGCAACCTGCTGAATCTGAAAGGTAAGCTGTGGTACCAGGTACACAGCAGCGCACTCTGGAAACAAACAAAAAATAATCAGAAAAATTTAATGTGGCAGCTATTAAATAGGTGCCGGTGGGAGGGGATGGTGTTGCGCAGCTCCAGTTCTCACTTGAAGCGAGGCTCTGCTCCACAAAGTGAACAGCTATGGAATACTGTGGCTTTTTAGGAAGATTAATCAAAAGGTGAGAAAAGGTTACTGAGAAGCATAGGACATAAGGCTTCACCGCAGCAGCCCTGAAGCACTGCTGGTTCTGGCACAGTGCCCTACCAAACAGCTGCTTAAGTCATTCAGAAACACATAATGACTATTGGCTGAATTAGAAAAGCAGGCACATGTACTTCATGTAACAGAACACAAAAAAAGGAGGGAAGGTCAGCATTTCAACTGGGTTTACTTGAAGAGAACTTCTAGGCTCCCAGGGGAGACACAATTACGCAAAAGCTCATGGATGTGAGAGCAGGCTGGTGCCCATGAAGTCCATACTCTCCAAGAGGTTGAGTCCCAAAACCGGGGCATGCGTCTTCCCATCTGTTCTCATGCAGGTCACATGACTCATGTGGAGTATTACAGAGTCCAAAATATGCGCTTGGGCGAAGCGTGCTCTCACGGTGCCCCAAAATGTGCTTTTGGGGGCACCATGTGAGATCACCCTGCATTTTTTTCAAGGAGAGATATCAGCACAAAATCAAGCAAGATCATGGCCTCTCAGATGGCTGCTATGCTGTTGCAGGGGGAAACAAGATGTCCCAGTTTTCCTGGGATACTTGAGGGGTATAGAAGTCCTCTGTTGCAACTGCCTGCAAAAACCCTTAGTGCAGTCACTGCCTCTCAGCCTAGGCTACCTCACAGGGCTGTTGTTGGGATTAAATGAGGGAAGGGAGAACCATATATGCCACCTTGAGCTCCTTGGAGAAAAAAGTGAGATATAAATGTGATAAGTAAGTAAGAGTCCCAGACCAACTTTAATTATGCAACATGAACTGGCTGGTATGTGATGGAATCTCTCCTCTCAAAAAATGAATAGTTACAGGCTGGAAGCACCCTGACCCCTACACCCATTCTGAAAACCACCTGCGCTTCTTCGTGGACATCCAGTGTTGCCTTCCATCTAGTGTTTATTTGGTTTGAAAAAGGTTTTTTTCTATTAAAAAATGTAGATTTAAATGCATTATCTTCTATGTAAAGTGCCTGAGCACCAATTGCAGAGGGGGCACTGCATAAACATTTATGATGTCCCTGTTGTTCCCCCCCTTCATTTGAAGAGCCCTAGCAGGGAACAGCACTTGCTTTTTTCCCTGAAACACATAAAAACAGCTTAGATGCCAGAGCGCAAGGAGGAAGTGCAATTATTGACAGAAGACTGCATTGTGCCCCCTCCTGGCGCCTTATGCGATGGCGTTCTGGTCTGCTGTGTGATGGAATGCGTCTCCCCTCATTCTGTTATTACAAAGAGGGCAGCACAGAACAGCGTGTCACACTGGGGTGGCTTATGTAGCAATGCGAAAGCATTTAAAAACATCAATTTCCAGTAAAATCCAATTGCCAACAGTAGAGGGTTTATCAGTGACAAAGATCCAAAACACAGAGCTTATCTGCTCATAATCCTGTCTCCACTCTAAAAGCGGAACATTATCTTCCCCGTGTTTCCCAGATCTTTCTGCCCATGAGCTTGCCTTTGTTGTGCTGTTGCTATACAGCCCATGTTCAATCAATGTTGCTTGGTCTAGACGTGCAGCACCTCCTGCTGTTTATCTGCAGACCCTTGTTCTCCGTGCAGATCTGCTTCTAGGAATTCCAGTCACGCCTGGACACAGTGGGGCCAACACCTTGCTGTCTAATCTGTGGGCAGTCTTTATACCTGCTTCTAGTTTGTTTTAATAAATTATATCTCAAGTTCCTTCCATCAAGGCGAGTTTACCCCTGGGCACTGGGGATGCATCTATAAATGCACAGCATATTTAGAACTGCAGCAAGAACACAGGGAAATGAGTACATTATGTTGGAAATGTGCAAATGCAAATATTTTATGCCCAAGAAAAGTGAGGAAATCTTCCCAAATGAAATGGCAGTTTGCATATTAACAGAATGGTCTATTATAGAGGGGGAAGAATCTGCGACTCTTCAGATAGATGTCAGGAGTAGGAGTCTCTGACCACTGGTCACACTCGTTGCGGCTGATAGAAGTGGGAGGATCACAGGTGAGGCTACCCTGAGTCTATTATTATTTCCTTGTATATTTCAGGATGGCATGATGCGGATAGCAGATTTGGGAAGTGTGAGATCTGGTAATAGTGTCTAGATCAAAAACTTATGTTTGAGTTACAGAATGCTTACTCTGAAAGAACATTTGAAGCTAGCTAAACATTATTAGAATCTATTTTAAGAGAAATATTAGTACAAATAAATTCTCCTTATAACAAAGTAAAACAATTATAAGGAAAAATCTCTTCACATTCTCACGACCCTGTGGATACTACATTAAGATCTGAAATTGTTTGCATAAATTACATTTTAAATTAAAATGTTAGCATGCGTTACCAGTATTCTGTAATATTTTACTGATACTCTGCAGCTGCAGTTCTATGCCACTTACCTGACAGTAATTCCCACTGAATGCAGTGGGACTTACTTCAGAGTAAACTTGCATAACATTGTGATATATGTACTATGCACACTTACACGGGAGCAGATGAAACTGAACTCGGTGGGACTTGCTCAGATACAAAGGTGTGTTCTCTTCTGGGAGGGGCACATGGCTTGTTTTATCTGCTTATAGTTCACCCAAAGTCCTGTTCAGAAGGCATTGGGTTACATCCATCACAACAGCTCTACTCGCACAACAAACTTGCATGCTTCCAATGGAACTTCTTCCTCT